GCTGCGCCACCAGGGAGGGCCAAGTGCCACATCTTTTTAATCCAGTCATCTACTTTTGGGCATTTGGGCTGCTTCCATGTTTTTCCAATTGTAAATAAAGCAACAATAAACATGGGGTACAGTATCTTACCTTCCATGTTTTAAGTGTTGGGTGACCACTGTCTCTGCCATATGTACTCTCTGAGTCTCAGGTGTGAATTTTTCAGAAGGGTCTCCCTCTGTCAAACTTAGTTATCGACAATCCCTGTGTTAAATACTTTTAGTTGTTAGCTATTCCCTACGTTGCTTTTTTATCTTCCAATAATTTTCACTATGGATTTGATAACAGATTAATGAACAGTTTATGTTTCTTTACTGGTCATTGGAAATTCACAAGCAACTTTGTGAAATGGATAGTTAAGATGAAATAAATGGAGTAGAGAAGGGAACAGGTGTTCAGAGGAACAGAAGTGGAAAAGGTATAGTAACCCCAGACACACTTGAGGTACAAAGGTGGAAGTAGTCTGGTCTGGGTGTCTCAGGAATCTTGTTGCAGACACTCTGCTCTGAGAAAAGTCCTGACTTGTCTGGACACAAAGCTGAATGCTTCAGCTGCAGCTCCTGTGGTAACTACTCTGGATGGGGCTGCCTTTGCTTGCCCAGGGCCCATCTGTTCCCCCACTTGTTTCTTTCTGACCTTAGTGAAAGCCATTTTCTTCATCAAAGTTGGGTGGAAGGGGTAGGGGTCCTCCAGCCAGGGTGCCCAGGCTCTAAAAGATCTACTATGACTGGCTTGAAACACAGTACATACAAATCTTGAAGTTGAGGGTTTGTGGTGAACAGGAGTTTGAATGTGCACATGGCAGCTGGCTGGTCCTGGAGTTGGCCATCCTTGACATTGAGCCCTGAAATAACAAGCACATCTGGTGTTCACTCTGCGGGGACAGGAGCTGGCGGACCCCTTACAGACAGGGTGGAGCAGTGGTACTGACTGAGGGCTGTGGTCAGGGCTGCCGGCTCTGTTGGCCCATTTTTCACCTGGGCACCCAAAGCTCCAGGGGATGCTGATCAGATGAGCCTGATACCACATCTTGTCCAAGCTGCCAGGAGTTGTCTGCAGACATGATCTCACTCACATAGCAAAGCTGTGAAGTAGGAGGCTGAAGTACTACCTTCCGTCCACAGGTGAGGTGTTGAAATACTCACTTCTGAGTCTCCAACATCTCTCCCAGCAGCTCTGTGAGACTACAAACACTTGTCCTTTCTGTCCACTCAAGCACAGCGCGTAAAAACAGCTTTCTTATTACCACTTCCCAGTCTACCTTGCAAGCTGTAGCTTCACCTTCCTCCACTCTAAATGAGGCCTCCTCACAACTCTTTGTGACCCACTGAACTGCTACTCTGCTGGTGACATCACCAGCCTTCATCCCAGCCAGGGTGTCTCCTGGCTGCTTCTCTCCAGCATCATTTCACACTGCCATGGTTGAGAACATTGGCAGCTCTTACAGCCAAGCACAGAAACACGTTCCAACTTAGCACTCCTCTGGAACGTGGCCAGCGATGGAAAACCTCATTTTAATATTTTGATATTATACAGTCCAGTGGATATGAAGCATTCAAAGGTGTTCCAGCCATGGTGTTAGGGCACTGTGACAATGTGACAAACATACAGATGAGTCTAATAAAGGTCGCAGGTGTGTAGTGCAACAGAAGGAACGCAGTGGGCCCTGGGGCACAGTGGGGCCTGAGTCCACCTTGGAAAGCTTAGGGAGTTAGGAAGTCCAGAGAATAATTCATCATCAGCATCTGGGACAACTGCCATGTTCTCATATGGTGGTTCTTTTCTCAGGGCTCAACTCAGGATGGAACCCTGAGCTTCCATCGCATCACTTTTCTTCTCTCCCAAAATGAGGGGGTGGTCTCCTCAGAGGTTGCTGTCTCTCTCCCCTCAGACAGCTCATTTCCTGGTAATACTCCATTTCCATATTTTCCATTTCTGTCTCCCCATTTACCTGTCCCTTGACCTTCAAAACACTCCTGTTGCCTTCTGTAGAATCTCCTATAGCTGACTCTCTCCTGCCTTTGTCTCAGGAGGACAGTTTCTGGTCTCTTCCCCTCTCCTGGCCTGTTTATTGGAGACAGCTACACCACAGCTCTGTCTCTTTCTGCCTCCCTGTCAGCTCCTACTTTTTCTTTCCCACAAACAAATCCTGCAGCTCTGCTTATTATCTCTCTGCTCCTATTGGTCTTCTTATCTAACACCCCTGTGAGAAAGCTCCTGAGATGGTCTTCAAGTAAGACAGAACCCTGGGTGGTCCAGGCCCATCTGTGGGTCCCTCTCTGCCAATACCTCGTGCATCAGTGTGCAGCCTGGCATCCAGCCATCTCCCCTCAGACCTCTGCTCTGACCACTCCACCTGCCAGTATTACCTTTTCTTTAGTGGACTCTTCACTTGCCCAGATCCTGTCTGTTTTTAAAGAGCCAGTATCTTCCGTAAATGGTCCCTGCTGTGCCCTCTCCTGATTCTCTCATGTTTCCTGGATCTCCCCTGAGGTGGTCCAGTCACTGTCCATTACTCATCCCACAAACAGTTTCAGGGCCGGGTATTGTTCCAAGGGCTCCTCCACTGCTTGTGTCTGCTTTCTCCCACTAGAGTAGGGCCCTAAGCCCACGTCTCTGATGTAACCAGCGCAGGTATTGGAAATTGTTGACATTCAGTAAGCTTTCCTAAATGATTATTTGGCACCCTTCTCTCCCCGGGGGGCAAGGTGCTAGGTCCTGAACTCAGCAGATGTTCCTTCTTGCAGAGTTAGCCGGGGGCTGGGGGGTGAGGGGGTGTTGGGGAAAAGGGGATCACACCAAGGTCTCTGATATTAAGCTTTTTTCATTCTGAGATTTATCATGAGCCAGAATTTGTTAGTTCAATCACAAAAGTTTTCTAAGGAGAAGCAAAACTTGGTATTCTTTCAGGTCCACTGTCAAAATGCCTGTGTATTTATGACATGCACTAAACAGCCTATGGTTTATATGTGTTTGACTTCGGTTGTTAGGTACCTTATAACATGCCGCCAACTGTGCTTATTCTGAGACTCCCCCATAGCAGTTTGCAGGCCCCCAAACTGTCACAGAGCTATCACATCCATCAGGCTACGTTTTAAGATGTCTTGCACTTACGCATGCCATTGAAGTATCTGTTCTCCTCCCCCAGGAGATGGCAGGACGTGCTCTCAAGCAGACTGGCAGCAGGAGCATCGAGGCAGCCCTGGAATACATCAGTAAGATGGGCTATCTTGACCCTCGGAATGAGCAGATCGTGCGAGTCATTAAGCAGACCTCCCCAGGTGAGCTCACAGCCACAGTCTTGTTCATGAAGATGATTGTGGTTTAAAAACATTCAGCAGGTTGCCAGAAGGGAGGTCTATAGTGGCTACCAGGAGCAGATGGTCCTGTGGCACTTTGCCTTTTTCCAGTGATGGGTGAGTTGAGCCTGTTCTGCTCTGATGCTCGGGCCTGGAGGAGGGTCAGTCATGGGACTTAACTGGGATTCTACCCCTGTCTGAAAAAATCAGTGGTACTTCCACCTAGAGTATTTTTTATACTTGCTTTGTCTTATGAAGCACTGAAAAATTCACTGGATATTTATAATTAAAATTAGGCAGCTCAGCACAGTGAAGGGGTCTTTGAAAGGGGACGTTAACCTCGTTGGTTCTGATCCTGCCCTTTCTGGCACCGTGGCCCCGAGAACAGGCTGCTCAGTGGTGGCTGCCTCTGTTTGCTGAAGGTAGTGGGCCCAGTGCTGGGAGACTCCTGGGTGGCTCCTGGGAATGGAAGAGCATCAGCTGTGCTTCACTGGTTAGCTGTTGAGTGTTCTCTTTGAGCAGGGAGCAAGTACCTGAGATCCCTGGGTATTAGAGATTCATGATATTTAGCAAAAGGAGTTTAACTGTTTTACAGAAGTCCTTAGAAAAACCTACTTTATCCCCTGGGTGAGACAATCACATGGGTTTTATAAATTGTGTCTTACTAAGAGGATACAAATTTCTGACTTCTTTTTGACAGAATTTCTGTAAAGAGTCCCCAGTTAGCCACCGCGTCCAGATTCTTAGAGTTCTGGGTGTGTCTTAGAGCACATCTTGCAGAGAAGCAGCAGGCCCACATTCCATAATGATCACTGCCTACACTTGCCTTTGATGTATGGTCACAGTGCAGCCATAGCCCAGGGAACAAAGTTGCAATGTGGCTGTGACATCTGTTTGTGGCAGTGACTGTGGAGATTTTCCTTTTCTGATGCCCTTGTGAGGGTCTTAAGGCAGAAAGTAGTCTGGACCTGGCCAGTGTGTCCAAGGGTCTTTTGTCACAGAAGAAGCTGCGCCGTATCAGCCTCATCTCCAAGGACATTACAGCCATGAGGAGCCTGCCTGCAAGTGCCAGGGCCGACTGAGAAGGCTCCCTCTAACGCAGTCTTCCATTCTTCCTTCTGCAGGGAAAGGCATTGCGCCAGCCACTGCGCCACGGAGGCCGAGCTTTGATGGCACGGGAGACCCTTTCCCGCCCTACCATCAGCTTAGCAGCGCTGCCTATGAGGGTGCCAGCACACTGGAGGAAGTGCCTCGTCAGTACATGGACTTTCTTTTCTCGGGAGTCAGTCCTCACAGCGGGCCTGGCAGCCACCAGCACCCACCCAAAGGCTTTGCTGCCAACCTGGAAGCTTCAGGGATGAACTTCCCTGTGCCCAACCCAGGCGGCCAAGTACTGTCACTGCAGGGCCCACACTATCGGCCTCATCTGCTGGTGCCGGGGGAGCCACCAGGCTATAGCATCCAGCGCAGTTCCTCCTTCCAGAACAAAAGTCAGGAGGCGGGAGGGTACTCAAGCCTTGCTGCCAAGGGCCAGGCTGTGCCACCGGGGTCTGGTCATGCCTTTCAGCCCCAGGGGCCAGTGGCAAGTTTATACGTGTCCCATCCGCACCATAAACAGGCCCACGCGGTACACATGATGGGCTCCCGGGGCCAGATGTTTGTGAGTGACAGCGCCCCCCAGAATCTGCTTAGCCCTTCTAGAAATAGTCTCAACGTGGATCTGTATGACATGAACAGTGCTCCTGGCCAGCAGTGGCAGTCCTCCACCCTGTCCCGTCGAGACTCTCTTCAGAAGCCAGGCCTGGAAGCACCTAGCCGCCAGCATGTGGCATTCCTACAGGAAGGCCCTGTCCCTAGCAGGACCAACTCCTTTAACAACCATCAGCAACAAGTGGCCGTGCCTATCAGGGCAGGGGTGCCCAGCAAAACTGAACCTCCTGTGTCCTCGCCCAACACCATCACAGCGGTGACGGCTGCCCACATCCTGCACCCTGTCAAGAGCGTGAGGGTGATGAGGCCGGAGCCCCAGACAGCTGTGGGACCCTCCCACCCAGCGTGGGTACCAGCGCCCACCCCAGCGGTGGAAAGTCTGGACTCCAAGGAGGAGCATCCTGTGCCCTTGGGGAGCACCAGCACGTACCCACTGGACATTGAGTATGGCAGCCCAGAGATGAGGTGTCCACCGCCACCATACCCCAAGCATTTGCTGCTTCAGGGGAAGTCAGAGCAGTTCACTGTGGACAGCCTGTGTGTCGGGATGGAGCAGAGCCTCCGAGGGGCAGAGCCTGCAGAAGGGAGTGACAAGAGCCACAGAAACGCCAAAGGAGAGAAGATAGGGAAGGACAAAAAGCAGATCCAGACTTCTCCTGTTCCTGTCCGGAAAAACAGCAAAGATGAAGAGAAGAGAGAGTCTCGCATCAAGAGCTACTCACCATATGCTTTTAAGTTCTTCATGGAGCAGCACGTGGAAAATGTCATAAAAACTTACCAGCAGAAGGTCAACCGGAGGCTGCAGCTGGAACAAGAGATGGCGAAAGTAATTTCTCATTTCACTCTCCCTTCTGACCTTGGCCCTTTCCTAGCTGATGGCAGGAATCACAGCAGATGTCTCCTGTGTTTCTGTTTTTCTTGTCTTTATTATGAGCAGTGCTCTCATGGGGCGACAGGTTATGGAGTGATCATTTTGGAGGAGTGACATGTGGAACCTCCCTTTCCCTTCCCCCTGGCCTTCAGGGGATCAATCATAGCCATGGATGACCTGGCTGACAGATTGATCACTGAATTGATTTTTTTTTTTTAAGATTTATTTATTTGTGCATACTGAACTGGGGTACAGGCCAGAGGCTCAGGGATGGCGAGACGCTTCACCAGAGACAGAGTGGGGAGCAGAACAGGCAGATTGACGAAGTACACTGCTGAGGGGAGCAGTGGGCGGATCAGGAGAGGTCTGCCACACCATGTGGTCACCTCCGGGGCAGGCGGGAATCAAACTCATGTGAAGTGGCTTTAGTTTCTTAGTGCTGCGCTTTAACCCACTGCGCCACCAGGGAGGGCCACTAAATTGATTTTTATGGTGCATCCTTGTTCAACACATTCATCATTTTGCTAGTAATAAAACACTTTGAAAGAGTAGAAAGGAAATTTGAAGTTTTGTAAATTGAAATCCTGGGATATAAAAAGACAAATAGATCTAGTAATGATCTATTTACCCTCCCTTAAATTTGTAATGTTTTCAATTTACCATAGTTTGCCCAAAATTATTAGAAGGTAATTATTATTGAAATTAAAATGTAAATTAACTCATCTGAAGCTAGTAACTTCTGACTTGAAAAAGTCAAGTTTGTGCTTTTTGTGCCATCTCATTTTTGTTGACTTTTTTTCTGTTTTCTTCTTAGCTGCTATAATATTAGATTGCTTTTAGGTACATAGATTTTGTGTCCCCTTTTCCACAGATTTTCTCTTTTCTTTTTCTTTGAGGTAATCACCAGAAGTCTGGTTCTCCACAGGTTTTTATGAGTAGAGGTGTCTTGTAGTTTTTAGGGCCTAAGGTCACCTAGAGAAAGGTGACTATTTTGTTTTCCCTTTAGCTTCCAGATCTGTGACTGTATATGCCTATAAAACCATAAAGCTGGCTAACTAGATTGCTTATAGTATATTGGACCCACTTCTTCTGTATTCTCATGGTTGTATGTTCCACTAGCATTCTCTCAGCTCTAAGGCATCTTTAATACCCACCAGTTCCTATCACGGGGTTACCGCTATAACTCCTCTTATTTTCTTCTACAAAGGCTGGACTCTGTGAAGCTGAGCAAGAACAGATGAGGAAGATCCTCTACCAGAAGGAGTCTAATTACAACAGGCTCAAAAGGGCCAAGATGGACAAGTCCATGTTTGTGAAAATCAAAACCCTAGGTATTGGTGCCTTTGGAGAAGTGTGCCTTGCTTGTAAAGTGGACACTCATGCCCTGTATGCCATGAAGACCCTGCGGAAAAAGGACGTCCTGAATCGAAATCAGGTGGCCCACGTCAAAGCTGAGAGGGACATCTTGGCAGAGGCAGACAATGAGTGGGTGGTCAAGCTTTACTACTCCTTCCAAGACAAGGACAGCCTGTACTTTGTGATGGACTACATTCCGGGGGGGGATATGATGAGCCTGCTGATCCGGATGGAGGTCTTCCCTGAGCACCTGGCCCGGTTCTACATTGCAGAGTTAACCCTGGCCATCGAGAGTGTCCACAAGATGGGCTTTATCCACCGAGACATCAAGCCAGACAACATTTTGATAGATCTTGATGGTCACATCAAACTGACAGATTTTGGCCTCTGCACTGGATTTAGGTGGACTCACAATTCCAAATACTACCAAAAAGGTATTGTCACAGGCATGCTACAAACACCTGCTACATCCAGACATAACTAAACCAGCTAAGGGAACTGTTTGCCCCCCTGGTGACTCCTAATCATTTTGAAATTATTTGTCACTCCATTATTTTATAATTTGATGTGACATCCTTTTTCCCTACAGGAGGAATAGTATGGTAATGTGCGAGATTTTTTTTTCTTATGTTTGTAGATTTTAGTTTTACTGTAATGTTTTTAGGGGATAAGGTATGAGATATCAATGAACCTCTGTGAGGAGCCATTGCTCTCCCTGTTGAATTGAGACTTAAGACGTAAATCTCAACAAGCAACCTTCCAAGGAGCCCTCTTACAGCTCACCTGAATGCATAGGTACTTGTAGGTACAGATATATATGTAGTTCAATTCCATCTCCTGTAGTACTGCTCTTGGCA